GCCTTACTTGAGTCCTACCTTCCGTCATATTTACGAGGACCCCGATGCGTTTTTAAAACCCGAAGCGGAGCGCCCTGAACCCATTAAGATCCGAGGCACTGCATCCCGTAGGGAACTTCTCAAGGTTCTTGAACGATGGGACCATCTCGGTCGTCTTTTCGTATGTGACAGTTCTGAGGTTAGATCTGAGGATAGGTGTGAGTTGTTCGCTGTGGCGAAGGATGCTGATAAGGATCGGCAAATCCTGCATCGGAAAAGACGTAACCTTCAGGAACGTCACATTCAAGGCGCGTCTCGAGATCTGCCACATGGAGTACTCTTATGCCAGCTTCCCTTGGAAGGGCGCTATGTGTGTGCGTGCTCGGTCGATGATGTAAAGGACTTTTACCATGCTTATCCTGCCTCGGAAGCCCGAGCTAGGAGTTCGCCGGTGGGTCCTGTTTTCCGTCCCGGGGAAGTGAGTCATTTGAAAGCATTCCAGGAAGCCCTTGCAGCAGGTCGAGTCACCCAAGGTGGCCGTGTGGCGTGCTGCTTTAAAGGGCTGGGGATGGGAGACCATGCAGCCGTGGATATAGCTCAGGAAAGTCATGTGAACTTACTTAGGTCTTTTGGAGCTATGAAAGAGGGCGAAACTTTGAGGTATAGAGACCCGGTGCCGCACCCCCCTAGTGGTTTCGTGGAAGGTATCATGATTGACGACCACTTAGGTCTTCAGCTCTTGCCGAGACTTCAGAGCCTGAAGGAAACCTTGGCTCAACCGGCGAGGGATCAGGAGGTCTTCGCGGCTTCGGGCAAAGCTTATTCTCACGCTGGGCTGCAGGCGCATCCGAAGAAGGCCGTTCGACGTGGGGTTTGCGCCAAAGTCTGGGGAGCCGAGATTGAAGGAGAGAAAGGGCTTGTAGGTCCAGTTCGTAGTCGTTTGATGGCCTTGGGAAGGCTGTCTAGTGAGGTCGCCCGCCCGGGTGCGATTGACCAGCAGACCTTGGATGGAGTCTTGGGTTTGTGGGGCTTTTGCGCCCAATTCCGACGGCCCATTTTCAGTTTCTTGTATGAAGCGTACAGACAACAGGGTCCCGGGACTGCCGAAGAGCCGTTCCGCCTTTCCACAGGGGCCCGCAACGAATTTGCTGTGCTTGCTTGCTTAGCACCTCTGTGTCTAACTGATCTCCATGTTTTGCCTGATAAGTATCTGTATTGTGTGGATGCTTCTCCTTCGGGGGCTGGGGTGTGTAGGTCTGAAGTGGGGGTTTCTGTTGTTAGGGAGATTTGGCGTAGAGGTGACAAGCAGGGGTATAGGATGCCGCTTTTGAGTCGGCTTTCCGCCGCCCTGAAAGAGAGCGGCTTGGATGAGGACGATGTTCTAGATGAACAGGATTCGCAATCGGAGATTTCGGATTCGCCTTTGAGGAGTGAGTTTGAGCAGGGTCCAGTAGAGGCTCTGTCTTTTGCACGCGGCTATTTGGAACGAGTTTCCCAGGACGACTGGAGGTTGTCCATACCTCCTGCGCTAAAGGAGGGGCCGTGGGACTTCTTAGAACTTTACTCTGGTTGCGGCCAGATGAGTGCTTCCTGGGCCAAACAAGGGTTCAGTGTGTTGCCTCCGGTTGAGCTTAAGCGAGGTTGGGATATGACTAGTCAGGACTTGTTCTGGGGGCTTTTGGGGCTTCTCAGGTGTGGTAAAGTCAAGTTTCTTTGGTGGGCGCCGCCTTGCACCACGTTTTCGAGTGTTCGACATCCTAAGCTAAGGAACTTGAGTCAACCGTGGGGATTTGATATACTTGACTTTGATTGTGTTTTAGGGAACCTTCATGCGGTTCAGTCCATGCTCTTGGCGTTGGTTCAACTTGATGTGGGACATGCTTTCGGGGGGGAACAACCTGCGTTTGGATCCATGCGAGCCTTGAGACCCTGGGAGCTGTTGAAGGCCCGTGGGGCGTTTGAGGTCCTCTTCGACTGGTGTAGATATGCGCGACTGTATACTAAGACCACCCGTGTTATCACGAACTTTAGAGCCCTCCAAGGCTTGCAGAAGAGGTGTCATCACACACGTCATCACCCCCCCCTTAAAGGTCACAAGACCACTTTGGCAGGGGCTTACAGTCGGGCCTTTTGTGAGAGGGTTGCTTCGTTCTGTGCTTCGGTGTGGGATGACTTTGAGGGTCAAGTTTCGGGGGATGTTGAGGCTCGAAAGTTTGGGGAGGACATGTCAGGGCTACAGAGTCACAGTAAGGCTGAGCCTTGGGGTGCACATCGTGAACACCCTCAACGTTATCCCCCAACTCGTGTCCTGCACCCTCAACAGGATCCCGAAAAGGCCTCGAGATTGAAAAGAAGTCGTAGAAAAAGAAGCTCTGCGCTCTGGGCAGTGCAGCTTTCAGAAGGGTTGACGTGGAAGACCTGTATGCAATATAAGTTCACCCAACATGCTCACATCAACATTCAAGAGGCTAAGGCGCGAAGGTCGTTGTTCAAACGTCTGCCTTGCAACAAGCGAGTGGTTGTTTGTCAGGATAGTCGTGTGAACTTGGGAGCTCTGGGTAAAGGCCGTAGTCCAGCGGCTGCTCTGAATAGAGTCATGAGATCCGAGGCTCCCTTGATCTTGGGGAAGAACTTGTATGTTTCAGGGTTGCACCTGCCCACTTGGTCCATTCGCGCGGACTCGCCGAGCCGTTGTTTGCCCGTAAGCCCTCCTCGAATTGCTTTACCGCCATGGTTTTGGCAGCTTAGAGCTGGTCTTCGCTCAGGTGCAGCTTCTTTGGATGCCTTGCAGGGTTTGCCCCGGGCATACAACAGGTGGATGGTTTTTGTGGGGGCTCTTTTGCTTCAGTGCTCTGGAAGTCCAGGCGCCGCGACCGCCTTCAGAAGGCGTCAGGACCCGGGAGCACTTGCTGAGAGGCCGAGTCACCGAGAAGACGCACCAGATCCGGACGAGTTTGATTGCCAGCCTGGAGGAGTGGCTCTTGCCTCAGCTACCTGGGATGACGTTGGAGACCTTGGCTCGAGGGCACTCAGACGTTTTGTCCGATTGGCTCGAAGAATATATGGTTGCTATGTTTCTACAACGCCGCAGCCGTCGAGCTGCAGCCGAGACCTTAAATGCCCTGGCCCAACGGTTTGGATGGCTGAGATCCTCGCTTGCCGCGCCGTGGAATCTGGTGAAAACCTGGGAGCAGTTAGAACCAGTACAACATCACCCGCCGGTACCCAAGGCGGTGAACGATGCACTTGTCGTTACTGCTCTGCTCTGGCGGTGGCCGCGGATGGCGGCTTTGCTGGTGCTTGGCTTTTTTGGATTGCTGAGGCCCTCCGAGCTTATTGGACTACGTCGGCAAGATCTGGCATTGCCAGGCGACCACTTCGAAGAAGACGTGCTGTACATCCGCGTGCCTCATCCCAAAACCAGATTTCGGGCTGCAACCTCCCAACATGTTCGAGTCGAGTTTCCGGGTGTGGCCACGTGGATCACCTTGGTGGTAGGGACGACCCCGATGTGGAGGCGGATTTGGAATGGCTCTTGGGCCTCGTTTAAGCTGAGGTTTGGAGCACTCCAAACTGAGGTTTTGGGCGCTGTCACTTTCCTGCCGTCCTCGCTACGTCCCGGAGGCGCTACTTTTCTTTTCAGATACTGGGATGAGGACCTGACGCGCTTACAATGGCGCGGTCGTTGGAAGTCATTCCGTATGCTGGAAACATATGTCCAGGAATTGGGCGCGACCGAGGTCCTGGTTCGTTTTTCCCCTGGGGTTCGGTGCCGGGTTGGGTCTTTGGGGGGTTGTTTCATGAATATCCTGGCTGCATGTCGTGATGCTGCGGGGCGCGTCGAAGCGCGCTTGTAGTCCCGCCCGCCCGCCCGTGTGGGTCAGGTTGGGAGAGCTGTGTGTTTGAAGACTTTGCCACTTGCCGCAAACGAGCGGCCTGTGGCAGCAGCGGCTGAAAGCCGCCCTCTCTTTCCGTGAGTCGTGAGGAGTGAGCAAGCGAGCGTGCAAACAAGTCGGAGACTCTGTGAGTGCATGTTGCTCTGAGGGCTTGAGAGCAGAAGCATCGGAGCACCCTCCAAGAATGGCCCACATTCTTTGAGGTGTACAGCATGATTCAATGCACTCACCCGGCAAGTTTTTTCGGCCACCACCGCCCCGCCACCACGAGCTGTGTGTTTGAAGACTTTGCCACTTGCCGCAAACGAGCGGCCTGTGGCAGCAGCGGCTGAAAGCCGCCCTCTCTTTCCGTGAGTCGTGAGGAGTGAGCAAGCGAGCGTGCAAACAAGTCGGAGACTCTGTGAGTGCATGTTGCTCTGAGGGCTTGAGAGCAGAAGCATCGGAGCACCCTCCAAGAATATTCATTTTGCTCGTGTTCGTTCTCTTTCTGCTCGTGTTCGTGCTTTTTCTGCACGTATTCGTTCTCTCTCTGCTCGATTTCAAGCCGCTCGTTTTCGCTGTCTTTCTGCTCGTACTGAGTCTGCTCGTACTCATTCTCTTTCTGCTCGTATTCATTCTGCTCGTATTCGTTCTCTCTCTGCTCGACGTCAGTCTGCTCGTATTCGTTCTCTTTCTGCTCATATTCACTTTGCTCGTGTTCGTTTTCCCCGGTGACCCTGCCTATTTTTGGCCGTCTTGTTGGTTGTGTTTGGCACACTTTAAGCTGCCTGGCTTCCACATGGTTTCTTTCCAATTAGTGCCCCGGTGACCTCGCCTCATGTTGGCTCCTGCTCGTAGGGTTTGATGAGAGGCCTAGAGGTTTGTCGTATGTCCCCTCTCTTCGTGCTCGTAGGGTTTGTCGTATGTCCCTCCCTTCATGCTCGTAGGGTTTGATGAGAGGTCTACAGGTTTGTCGTACGTCCCCTCCCTTCGTGCTCTTAGATTTTGTCGTATGTCGCCTCCCTTCGTGCTCGTCGGCTTTGTCGTATGTCCCTCTTTGTCTGCTTGCAGAGAATCCCAAGAATTAAGAAACTGAGGTTTTATTTTCAGAGGTTTGTCGTATGTCCCCTCCCTTCGTGCTCGTCGGCTTTGTCGTATGTCCCTTTTCTTCTGCTTGCAGATATTCCCAAAACATTGAGAAATGTACGGGTTTATTTTTGAGGTTTGTCGTATGTCCCCTCCCTTCGTGCTCGTAGGGTTTGATGAAAGGTCTACAGATTCGTCGCATGTCCCTTCCCTTCGCGCTCTTAGGGTTTGTCGTATGTCCCCTCCCTTCGTGCTCGTCGGCTTTGTCGCATGTCCCTTGTCTTCGCGCTTGCTTTCCCCAGACCGAAGGTAGAACCAAAAGTGCTGGTCCGGATTGACAAAAAAACTAATTTGTTAACCTCGTGTTTTGTTTTCCCCCACCCCACCCTCGAACCATTCCAGTTCGAGCCAATCCCCAACCCACCCTAGAACCAACTACCCGTATTCGTTCTTTGTTGTCGGGGTGGGGGCGGGGTGCTGCTTGCTTACTTACTGGGTTTGTTCGTGCTTGCTGGGGCGCTGATTGCTTACATTCTGGATTTTTGCTTTGCTTGATGGGGGCTGATCTAAAGTTCCCCGGTGACCGTGCTGGCCGTCTCGCTGGTTGTTTTGGCTGCCTGGCTTCCACATGGTTGCTTTGGAATTAGTGCCCCGGTGACCGCCTTTTTGGCTCTCACCCCGCAAACCCTCATCTGGCCCAGACCCAGGTTTTCAAGCCCAGAATGGGGGTCTGGGCCAGAAGAGGCGCTTCAGAGAGGGGTTGAGGGGGGGGGGGAACGTGGCCATTGTGCTGATTCGTGGTTGGGGGGGTTGGGGGTTGGGGGGATGGGGAGGGGGGGGGGTGGTGGGGGGGTGGGGGGGGTCCGGTGGGGGGGGTGGGGGGGGTGGGGGGGGTGGGGGGGGTGGGGGGGGGTGGGGGCCGGGGTGGGGGGGGGGGGGGGGGTGGGGGGTGGGGGGGTGGGGGGGGGTGGGGGGGGGGGGTGGCGGGCGGGTGTGGGGGGTGGGGGGGGGGGGTGGGGGGGGGTGGGGGGGGTGGAGGGGGGGGAGGGGGGGTGGGGGGGGTGGGGGGGGTGGGGTGGGTGGGGGGGGGGGGGGGGTGGGGGGGGGTGGGGGGGTGGTGGGGGGGGTGGGGGGGGTGGGGTGGGAAAAAGCCGTGGCCATTGGCAAAAAAGCCGTGGCCATTGGCAAAAAAAAGCCGTGGCCATTGGCAAAAAAGCCGTGGCCATTGGCAACTTTCCCGTGGCCATTGGCAACTTTCCCGTGGCCATTGGCAACTTTCCCGTGGCCATTGGCAAATGCCACTTGCCAATGGCCACGGCTTTTTTGCCAATGGCCACGTTCCCCATTAAGGTTGGGGCCCAACCTTAATGGGGAACGTGGCCATTGGCAAAAAAGCCGTGGCCATTGGCAAAAAGCCCGAAAAGTTGCCAATGGCCACGGCTTTTTTGCCAATGGCCACGTTCCCCATTCAGGTTGGGGGGCATTTTGTGCGAATTGGGTTTGAAAAACCCATTTTGGCGACCAACCTTAATGACATTGGTGGCCATTGGCAAAAAAGCCGTGGCCATTGGCAACTTTCCCGTGGCCATTGGCGAATTTGCCAATGGCCACGGCCTTTTTGCCAATGGCCACGGCTTTTTTGCCAATGGCCACGGTGTTTTTGTTTTTTGCCAAATGGCATACGGTTTTTTTGCCAATGGCCACGTTCCCCATTAAGGTTTAAATTATTATATGATAGAGAGAGTTTAGGGTTTAGGGTTTAGGGTTTAGGGTTTACGGGTTTAAGGGTTTAGGGGTTTAGGGTTTAGGGGTTTAGGGTTTAGGGTTTAGGGTTTAGGGTTTAGGGTTTAGGGTTTAGGGTTTAGGGTTTAGGGTTTAGGGTTTAGGGTTTAGGGTTTAGGGTTTAGGGTTTAGGGTTTAGGGTTTAGGGTTTAGGGTTTAGGGTTTAGGGTTTAGGGTTTAGGGTTTAGGGTTTAGGGTTTAGGGTTTAGGGTTTAGGGTTTAGGGTTTAGGGTTTAGGGTTTAGGGTTTAGGGTTTAGGGTTTAGGGTTTAGGGTTTAGGGTTTAGGGGGTTCAGCAGCTCTGGGTCGAGCAATCTCTAGTAGAGCCGCTGTCTGGACTCTAGAAAAAAACCCACCCACCCAGAGAATCCCAAAACATTAAGAAATATAAAGTTCTCATTTTCCTCAGCAAGCCCTGTCTTCCAACCTCATTTATTCATTCTGCTCGTGTTCTTTGTCATTCTGCTTGGTTTCCATTCTGCTCGTATGCGTTTCTTTCTGCTCGTATTCATTCTGCTCGAATTCGTTCTTTTCTGATCTGCTCGTCTCGTGTTCGTTCTCGTTCTGCTCGTATTCATTCTGCTCGTATTCGTTCTCTCTCTGCTCGATTTCAGTCCGCTCGTTTTCGTTGTTTTTCTTCTCGTATTCATTCTGTTCGTATTCGTTCTCTCTCTCTGCTCGATTTCAGTCTGCTCGTCTTCGTTCTCTCTCTGCTCGTAATCATTCTGCTCGTATTCGTTCTCTTTCTGCTCATATTCATTTTGCTCGTGTTCGTTCTCTTTCTGCTCGTATTTGTGCTCTTTCTGCGCGTGTTCGTTCTCTCTCTCTGCTCGATTTCAGTCCGCTCGTTTTCGCTGTCTTTCTGCTCGTACTGAGTCTGCTCGTACTCGTTCTCTTCTGCTCGTATTCATTCTGCTCGTATTCGTTCTCTCTCTGCTCGACGTCAGTCTACTCGTATTCGTTCTCTTTCGGCTCATATTCATTTTGCTCGTGTTCGTTCTCTTGCTGCTCGTGTTCGTGCTCTTTCTGCTCGTGTTCGTTCTCTCTCTCTGCTCGATTTCAGTCCGCTCGTTTTCGCTGTCTTTCTGCTCGTACTGAGTCTGCTCGTACTCGTTCTCTTTCTGCTCGTATTCATTCTGCTCGTATTCGTTCTCTCTCTGCTCGATGTCAGTCTACTCGTATTCGTTCTCTCTCTCTGCTCATATTCACTTTGCTCGTGTCGTTTTCCCCGGTGACCCTGCCTATTTTTGGCCGTCTTGTTGATTGTGTTTGGCACACTTTAAGCTGCCTGGCTTCCACATGGTTGCTTTCCAATTAGTGCCCCGGTGACCTCGCCTCATGTTGGCTCCTGCTCGTAGGGTTTGATGAGAGGCCTAGAGGTTTGTCGTATGTCCCCTCTCTTCGTGCTCGTAGGGTTTGTCGTATGTCCGTTCCTTCATGCTCGTAGGGTTTGATGAGAGGTCTACAGGTTTGTCGCACGTCCCCTCCCTTCGTGCTCTTAGATTTTGTCGTATGTCGCCTCTCTTCGTGCTCGTCGGCTTTGTCGTGTGTCCCTCTTCGTCTTCTTGCAAAGAATCCCAAGAATTAAGAAACTGAGATTGTATTTTCAGAGGTTTGCCGTATGTCCCCTCCCTTCGTGCTCGTAGGGTTTGTCGTATGTCCCCTCCCTTCGTGCTCGTAGGGTTTGATGAGAGGTCTACAGGTTTGTCGTACGTCCCCTCCCTTGGTGTTCTTAGGGTTTGTCGTATGTCCCCTCCCTTCGTGCTCGTCGGCTTTGTCGTATGTCCCTTTCCCTCTGCTTCGCGCTCTTAGGGTTTGTCGTATGTCCCCTCCCTTCGTGCTCGTCGGTTTTGTCGCATGCCTCTTGTCTTCGCGCTTGCTTTCCCCAGACCGAAGGTAGAACCAAAAGTGTTGGTCCGGATTGACAAAAATGTTTTGTTTTCCCCCCACCCCACCCTCCAACCATTCCAGTTCGAGCCAATCCCCAACCCACCCTAG